GGCCTAGGTGTATTTCTTCGGATTTGATGTAGTATACATCCTCCTATCAACCTAACCTAACCTAACCTAACCTAACCTAATCAGTTCAAAATGTTGGAATTTTTGAGACTTTTCTCAGAGATTGCAGATGTTTTTTTAAGAATTAAGATTTTCAGTCGCTGGTAGAGAACTGAGGCCAATTTTTTTTATTTATCTTGTAGTCAGTACATTAAAACGCATCGATTGAGAGTTATTCCTACATGAGATTCTCAAGAAAGATGTTGCTCGGGTCTCGTTAATGTTACGACATTATTATGGTTTTCAAAAAGATCATTATCTGTAGTCATCTAAATGTGCACTTAAAAAAATAAATTCGATTCGAAACGGTTTCAGAAGTACGGTAAGTACGGCTTTTCTTAAACCAAGTACGAAATACTTGATGAAATACACATTCATTATGAACGAAAACAATACTTTAAGCCACTTTTGGGTCAGAATGATTTTGCAATGTACTTCTCTTGGAAAGTTTTGGTTTGATTTAAGTTCAAATGCAAACTCGTTTTGAGAAAAAAATAACATTGATTTAAGAATGTAAAATATTGAATTTATCCCAAAATGGTCTTGATTTGAGCTCGATTTAAACTTGATTTCAGAATTCAGTAAAACTGTTAATTAACATCTCTGGATACCGCGACCTATTCACAACAATCGTATTTCCAGCAGAATATAAATATATTAATGGGTGCCCCGGTAGGCTAGTTGGTAGTGTGATAGGTTGTCAATCTGGGGGTTATGGGTTCGATTCACACCAGAGACTCTGGTCTGTAATGAACAAATAAATATATGGTTTACTTTCACACACTGCTGGAGCAGACCTTGGTGTTGCGAACCAGTTAAAATACATTTGACGACCAAATTCACAAAATCGGTCTTAGAAGAACGATTACATTGACATTATGAAATTTACTTTGACAGACTCACCACTGTGTTGAAAATTTCGACTGTTGAAAACTCTTTTTTAAAATCCAGTTATATCGGAAGAGAACTATATACAAAATCCCGCCAAAAAGAGAATTCAACATAGTTAGCCTAAAGATAAACGTTTCTGAATTTAAGTATATGTTATGCTGTGAGTCACAGAAATAGGAGGAACAATACAACTTAATAATACCAGATAAAAGATTAAATAATTAATGTTTAGGTTCTAAAGATAGTAAATAATTTGAAATTAAAAAGTTTCATAAAAAAATATTAAAATTCGACCTTGTGTGACCTTTGACCTTAAGGTTAATAGGAGCATTTCATCGAGAAATTCTTCGACAAAATTTCTCGAATTCTTTTAGTTCAAAAATCAACTTTAACCTTTTAAAAAATATCATAAATGGTTGAACCATACCAAACCCAAATAGATCTTTTGAGCACATAATTCTGTTAAATGATCCTGTATCATTAAAAAAATCATCCAACTTTGTTTTGTATAAGACTCAATGATACTCCAAGTTACACTGATATAAACTATCCTTGAAAGCTTCATCATATCGTTATTCATTTAAGACCAAATAAATCATTGTAAGTTCTCCGTTGCAAGGTTTTAGTTGGTCACGTCTTTTGTCAGCTCTTATAATTACACACACATACAAATGCACGTATCTTCGTTATCATTTGTAACACTCTTCCTTGTTCATGTTTTCTTTGTTTATCGTATGTCGAATTTAACCTGTAGTTCATATTGTTGCTAGATTAGGGAAAAACAAAGCATTTGTTACAAACAAAAAATTAATACTTGAATATCTTTAGACTAACAAAACGAAAATTTTAATGCAAGCAGATTAGTCTTCAACTACTGAACTTTGAAATGTAGTATAAATACATTAAAACCTAAACTTAATAAAAAGAGTGTACTAGCGATTTAATTGGCGAAAAGTATACAATCAAGGTAAATGCCAAACGTTACAGGACAACTCTACATTAGAGAGCCTTCAACAAAGTTCTCATTTGTAACTCTAAGAACCACTGGGTTATATACAAATTTATATATTCCTGCACCTAAAAGCTAGAGTAAGTACTTACACATTTACATTTTTACCTTTATCTATGAATTTCTTAAAAACGGTTAAAAGAAATAAAAAACTACTAAAATCGTTTTTTTCATAATTTTTATTTTATTTTTTAATAAATTTTATTTATTGCTTAAAGTTTTTTGTTTTCATTTTATTCTCTTTTTGTTATTTTTTCCATCTTTTACAATTACATTTTATTATATAATTTTTTTGTTGTTTTTTTTTATCAATTTATAATTAATGGTATTTTATTTTCAGTTTTTTCTTTAAATTTTATTTTAAATGTTTATTTAACAAGAAAATTAAGAGAGAGAAAAAATATAGTATTAAATAAAGATATTTATACTGGTAATTGGAAAAATGTTTTTATTGTGTTATTATTTTATGTAAAAAAAAATTAAACTTTATAAAAAATTTGTTATTTTTTTCACTTTTTTGTTCGAAGAAAACCGATGTTTGTAATGAAAAACAATTGTGTTAAAGGTGGTGGTTAAAAAAATAAGGGTTTTATGATATTGCATCAATAGTCTGCATCTGATATGCAGTACGTTCGAAAATGCATCCGCAAAAAAAAGTGAAACATCAAATGACTCTGAAATGTTTAACTATGATTCACTATACCAGACTACTAATTAGGAAAGAGTATAAACTAGACTATAGATTAGATTATGCTAGAGTATTGATTATGCTATAGACTATAGGCACGACTACAGACAAGATTACAGACTGGACTATAGACTAGATTATAGACTAGACCATAGACTAGATTATAGACTTGACTTGACTACACAATAGACTAGACTATAGACTAGACAATAAACTAGATTATAGACTATACAGTAGACTAGACTATAGGCACGTCTATACACTACACTACAGACTAGACTTTAGACTATAGACTAGAATGTAGATAAGGCTATAGGCTAGAATATAGGCTATAATGTGACTAGTCTATAGAATAGACTATATACTCGACTGTGAATAGTCTATATAAAATATACTATAGACTGTGACTAGACTATAGCCTAGACTATAGACCAGACTTTAGCCTAGACTATAGCCTAGACTATAGACTAGACTTTAGCTTAGACTATAGCCTATTCTATAGACTAGACTATAGACTAGACTTTAGCCTTGACTATAGACTAGACTATAGTCTAGACTATAGCTTAGACTTTAGACTAGACCATAGACTAGACTATGGACTAGACTAGACTATAGACTAGACTATGGACTAGACTTAGACTAGACTATAGCCTAGACGGTAACTGGACTATAGCTTAGACTATAGCCTAGATTATAGAATAGACTTTAGCATAGACTATAGACTAGACTAGATTTTAGCCTATGATATAGACTAGACTATAGACTAGACTAAAGCCTAGACTATAGCCTAGACTATAGCCTAGACTATAGACTAGACTATAGACTAGACTATAGCCTAGACTATAGCCTAGACTATAGACTAGACTATAGACTAGACTGTAACTAGACTATAGACTAGACTACAGACTAGACAATAAACTTAATTATAGACAATACAATAGACGAGACTATAGGCACTTCTATACACTAGACTACAGACTAGACATTAGACTATAGTATAGATTAGACCATAGACTTGGCTATAGACTAGACTGTAGATAAGTCTATAGGCTAGACTATAGGCTATAATGTAGACTATAGACTCGACTGTGAATAGTCTATATAAAATAGACCATAGACTGTGACTAGACTATAGCCTAGACTAGACTACAGCCTTGACTATAGACTATACTATAGCCTAGACTACGGACTAGACTTTAGCCTAGACTATAGACTAGACTATATCCTAGACTATGGACTAGACTTTAGACTAGACTTTAGACTAGACTTTAGACTAGACTATAGCCCAGACTATAGACTAGACTATAACTAGGCTATAGCTTAGACTATAGGCTAGACTATAGCCTAGACTATAGACTAGACTTTAGACTAGACTATAGCCCAGACTATAGACTAGACTATAACTAGATTATAGAATAGACTATAGGCTAGACTATAGACTAAACTTTAGCCTAGACTATAGACTAGACTTTAGCCTATGATATAGCCTAGACTATAGCCTAGACTATAGCCTAGACTATAGACTAGACTATAGACTAGACTGTGACTAGACTGTGACTAGACTATGGCTTAAACTATAGGCTAGACTATAGCCTAGAATATAGACTGGACTTTAGCCTAGACTATAGACTAGATTAAAGAATGCACTATAACCAAGACTATAAACTAGACTATAGCCTAGACTATAGAGTAGACTATAGCCTAGACTACAGCCTAGAGTTTAGAGAAGACTATAGCCTAGACTTTAGACTAGAATATAGCCTAGACTATAGACTAGACTATGGACTATATAATATATAGACTATAGCCTAGACTATAGACTACACTATAGCCTACATAGACTACAACACAGCCTACAATATAGACTGGATTATAGCGTAGACTAACTAACTAAGAACAGTCTTGACTACATTTGTTTGTACATAACATGACAAGTCACCAATTTTTCCATAGAATATGTCATATCGTATTCCAAAAGCTTTTACTCCAAACCCATATAAACATCTCATTTCTCTGACCACCACCACAACACAAAAACACTCGCCAAAAAAAAAAAGATTGTTCATTTCATTTTAATAACAATTTAATACTTTATTCACTTTAATTTATAAAATATTGCTTTATTCTTTTATTTATATTTAATATATCTCAAAATGTCATATGTTCTCAATTAATATTTAATTAAAATGAATTTAAATTTAATTGTAATACTTAAATTTTGGTTTGTTATTTATTAAATTAATTTTTATTATATTATTTTAATTTGAAATATACAATTTTTCAATAAAATTAAATTGACTTGTTTAAAAGTTTATTAAGATTTTTTCTCTTAAATTATTTATATTTCGATTTTACTTTTTTTTTTTTTTGTTTCAAAATTTATTTAACCATAAATATTTGTATGTTTTTTTTTTTTGTTTGCATTATTTAGGTAGTTGTGTAATGTATCTGTGAGCTGGTATCTATGTATGTATGAAAGTTGTTGTGGTGTGAATGATTGAAATATGTGTGAAAAATAGTGATATTTTGTTCAAATGTTGAAAAGTATGGAAATAAATATTTAAATTTGTAAATATTTATTATTATTGTTGCTGTTATTTATATATAAATATTTTTTTAGTATAAATACAATAAATATAGAGTAAGTTTAGAAGATTAATTTAGTTTGTTTTTGGTGTTATTTACAAGCTATTTTTTCATATTTTGTTGTTTTTTGTTATACAATAAAAATTTGTGCTAGTATTGTGTTTTTTATTTCTCTTATATAGTTTATTATTATTATTTTTTTTTTTTTGTTAATTGTTTATGGGATTTTATTTTGTCTGCAATTTGTTGTTTAAATTTTTTGCCCAAATTTGTTTATAATTTTGTGTGTTGTTGTTTTTTTATACAATTGTATAGCAGTTTTTAATTGATTTTTTTTTCCACTTTTGTATATTTTCAGCTAATGTTGTTTTATTTATTATGTTAAACTAAATAAATATTGTTTTAAACAGCTATTTTTTTGTTCAATTTAGACTTTATTAAGCTTAATTTTTTTATACAAATTTTGTTCGTTAAACAAGAGTTTAGTTTGCAAAAATGTTTGTTATTTGTTAGTTAAAAAAATATTTGTTAATTTGTTGAAGAATTTCAGTGAGGTGTTACTTTTATACTTTGGTGGTTTAAAAAAATTACAAATTTATTAGCATACTTTTAGGTTTAATGGTCCTTCGGCTTAGAAGTTGTTACTAATATGATGTTTTAAAAGAAATTTACAATGCATATACTTACAATGTAAAAGAGACAGAGAGTAAACTACATGGTGAAGTTACAATTACCCCTAAAAGCGTGCCAATTATGTTGTATAAGTAAAAGTGTTAGAAAATTGTTAAAAATATTAAATAAATTAAATAAAAATAAACAAACTTACAGGGTGTTGCAATTATAAAAGGAATGCGTGAAAAGTCATATACAATATACACATTTTCAACACATTTGTTTAAAGAGTGTAGAATATTTACTGAAAAGTTAAACAATGTCTGTACAATAATTTTCTTTGTTTTTTTTGCTAAAACCTTTGTAAACACACACGTATTTACAAACATGTTTAATTTGTCCTTGTCACTTTTCCTTTGCTGTTTAATTGCAATTGAAGTTATTAACAAATTCCCCTGGGAATTAATCCGAGTCATTAGGGAATCATGTGGACTTAGTCAAATGAATTTTCCTTCATATCTATTTTCTAAATAAGTACTTTCAAAAAAGCAAAAGGTTTTCTTAAACAATATATCTTATTAGTTTGTCACATTTTTGCTAAGAACTAATGACCAGAAATCTGATAACTGACAATCATTAAAAAAAATTTTGTTTATTAGAGCTTAAAGCCTTTTAAGTTTATCCTATGAAGTGATAGTTTGTCATGTAATGAACTTCTAAAATGTGTCATTTTGCCCTTTGACATGTGACAAATTTTCATTTGATTACTAATAGTACACGACCGTTTAGCATATCAATTCAATCTGCTTTCTCCAATTGTAAAAAGAATGCATTGGAATGCCATCAAATTTAATCAGCTTTTCAAGTGTGTCACTAAGCCCTTGTGACAGTTTCTATATGTCACATAATCTGTGGACATTATGACATTAGAGGTTGTGAAAGTTAAATTTTGTTTATTAAAGCTCAAAACCTTTTAAGTTTATCCTTAAAGCTTTTTAAGACAAAGCGAAAACCATGAAGTGACAGTTTGTCATGTCATGAACTCCAAAAATGTGTCATTTTGTCTTTTGACATATGACAAGTTTTTATTTGATTACTAATAGTACACGATCGTTTAGCAAATCAATTCAATCAGCTTTCTCTAATGGCATAAAGAATGCATGGGATCGCTTTAACTTTAATCAGTTTTTCAAGTTTGTCACACAGCCCTTGGATATTACGACACTTTTTATACGTCACATAATCTGTGGACATTATAACATTAGGTGTTATGACAGGTACATGATGACTTTAGTCGCATTCATCTCAGTTGGAAATGTTATAATATTTTGTAGGTTTAATGATATTAATTTGCCCAAAACTAATGACAAGTCCATAAAATTTATGACAATATCTGTTTACATGAACTGAAAAGTTTCCTAGAATACGAATGATCTATAAGAGTAAAATAAAATTACTATTCACTCTGTTGTAGGTGGGCTCCATCTCATGAACATTACGACAATGTACGTTGTGTCATAATGATCATACACTCTGTGACACTTTCTTAACCTTTTTTTAAACTTTTTTTAACCTAGAACACAGAGGTTATAGACTATTCTGTAATAGATCATGGATCAAGAGTGACGTTTTCCTTGTGAGTATTTCTATAGAACGTTCTTGATAAAACACTAACAATTAAAGGAGATCATTTCTAATAAACGTTAATACTTTGCACCCGTCCGTCCGTATAAATAAAATACATATGTATATGGGTCACACGATTATTAAAAAACAATAAAAAGTCGAAAAAGTTGGTTAACACCCTGTAAAAGTATTAAATAAAAATCTTAAAAACTATGATTTTTTATTCATTTATTACAAACCTTTATTTAAAAAATTAATAATAATAATAATAATTCAATTTTGAAAAAAACTGTTAAACATACTTATATAACTATTTAAAAAAATTAATAAAGCTGAACCGCATATAGAATAGAAATTAAATCAGTATGATGGATTTATGTTTTTTGGCTTAAAAAGACGATGCAGTAGAAACCCAATGTTATGATTAATCGGAGGAGTAGTTCTAATCTTAAGGAAGAAAATAGTTAAAAAATTGGAGCTTAAATTTTTACTCTATAATGCCAATAAAAGAGAAATTTCTTTTGGAAATCCTAACAATTTTTTTTACTAAATTTTTTTCTTAATATTTTGGGGGGGAGGAGTTTTTTTTCTTTTGTTAAAATGTCTGGCTAATGCTAATAACAATAAGGCTAAAAGCTAATATAAAAAACGTTTTATTTATATTTTGGTTTTTCTTTACTTCTTTATAATTAAATTTACTTTAATAAATATTAAATATGATTTGTTTTTATGAATTATTTTTTGAGTTTTTTCAGATTTTTCCAACTCATTCAAATATCAAAGGCTGTTTTATTTAATTAATATTTTTTGTTGTTGTTATATTATTAATAATTTATTATTATTGAATTAAATTAATTAATAATTTATTTGTTTTTTTGTTCTTAATTGGTGTATTGACATTGTTAAACATTAGTTTTTTTTAAATATTAATGGCTAAAAATGTTTTCATTTGTATTAAATTTACAAAAAACCAATAAATATAGTTTAAGTACAAAAGAGCTTTTTTTATAAAAGCTCTTAAAAGTTTAAGAGGGATTTAAATTTTAAAGAAGTAAATTAATTTTTTTAGATTTAAAGAAAATATTTTAATTATATTTCAGTAAAATAACTGTTTTGTTTTTAAGTTTGAAAAAAATATTTTAAAAAAGAAAAACTTAGATATCTTTGGTATGTTAGAGAGACAGCTTTAAAGCTTTAAAGTTTGTTATTAGTTTTGAGTATAAATAGAAGGAAACGAATTTAAATGGTAAACCCTTTTTAACTAATAGGAAAAGGATTTAACCACCACCTAAACTTAACGCCTGAACTATACGTGGATCAGCTTTACTACCCTCACGAAATTCTTCTAATGTTAATTTGCCATCATGATTTTTATCCATTTGATCAAATATTTTATCCACTCGTTTCTGAGGTGTATTTTCATCCTCCGCCTGGGGTTGTTGGCCCTATATTATTTTTTTTTCGGTTAGCAGGTTAAGTATTAAGAAAAATATAAAAACCAAATAAAAAATTTTATTTAAAATAACATTTTTATATAAAACTCAAATTAATTAATGGCATTTGTTTTATTAAAAAAAAAAAACTAAAACTCATACTTACCACCATTTGATAAATGGCATCAACTATGTTGTACATTTCCTCTCGCGTTATATAACCATCATTGTCCACATCGTATAAACGAAAAGCCCCTGTTTTTTTAATGTTTTTTTTTTATCCATATAGCAGAGTTGGCAATTTTAATAGAATTTACAAAAATAAAACAATTTAAATTGTGTCATCTCAACAAAAAAAATGAAGTTGGTATTAAAATAATGGCGGAAATAACATTTACATGTGCTAAAGTTTTATTTCCTTTTTTTAACTTTTTTTCTGTAGCAAATTTGGTTACAAGCTCACACACAGATTTGTTTACAAACATTAACACAAAAAATATTTTCCGAAAAAAAAAAAAAAAACGGAACATAAAAAATGTTTTTTTCAGGTCTTAACTAAAATAATGACATTTAAAGTGTTAAAAAATTTAACAGCAAAAAAAAACAATTTATTAAACAAAAATTAAATTAAAAATAAATCAAGGGAAACGCAAAATTGCAATTACAAATTGTTTTTGCATTTGAAATTAATGAAAATATGAATAAAGTTATGCTGTACTTTGTACTATTTCGGGAGCAAAAGTGGCCAATTTTTACTTCTTTTAAGAAATAAAAGAGCACTCTTGCTCCTAGCATCATATCAACGCCAATTAACTCATCAAACGAATGATATATTGTGTTACATTATCATCTTCTGAGTTGTTAGAAGGGGGACCATTAGCCATAGGAGTGAATATACCCATACCAATTAACTTTGTAATCAAGTAATCGATTTTGTTCCAGTATATTAGCAAAATTTTAGATTTTTTTGTTTGTTTTTACAATAGATCTAGTTCAGTGTAGATGGGGGACCTTGCGCCATTAGGCCAAGAAAGCAGTTTCTCTTTACGGCCATAGCAGGGCATTCACAGAGAAGATGGAAGACCGTTTCTTCCTTTTCCCTGTCTTTGCAAATCCGACAGCGTTCATTGAAGGGAAGATGGAAGACCGTTTCTTCCTTTTCCCTGTTTTTGCAAATGCGTCAGAGTTCGTTGAAGGGAAGCCCAAGCCGACTTGTATGTCTGCCTATCACCCAGTGTCCTGTTATTACTGCTATCAACCTCGATAATGTCCCGCCTACTTCGGTTTATAAGGTGTCTTGTTCGTTTCTCATCGAAGGAGCGCCACAATAACTTGGCCCCTTTACATGTGTCTAGGTTATTCCACCTATTTTCAGCCTTTTAAAGAAATAATCTGAGGATACTGCTCTTGATAAAACCTAACAGAGTTGCTACTGAAATGGCGTTAGAAATATCAAGAGCAGACCCCGTTCTGCCGGGTCATTACCTTAGTAGACCAGAACAAAGGTAATGTCAGAAAAGCGACCCGGCTTTAACAGATCCTTCTTGCATTGTCTAACTAATAGGGAAGTGGTAGTATAAGAGTTTAGTGAGAGAAGTGCCGCTTGACTATCGACAAAGATTCCTATGTTGCCGCGAATAAAAAGTAGTAACCTAAACTTCAGTCAATGTAAAAATGCCGGAAAGAAAATTTACAGAAATAATATCTTCATAACAAAGGCTACATCAAAGACGAACATCGAAGGATGGACATCGTTACATCGACTCAAAAATTTATACTGAGTTAAGAGATATTTTTTTGTTAAAGTTGAAAATAAAACTATATTTTTTTGATTTTTAAACATCAATACAAATGGGTAAAATCTCCTATTCCTGCATAACAAGACGATATTCAAAATCGTTGCCTTTTTCTTTTGGAACCATCAAAATTTACCCCAAATTAAAGGTGTTACCGCAAAAACCACCTAGATTTTTTATTAATACCTCTGTATTTGCTTAATGACAAGCAAATGCTTGTTTGTTAATTTATTTGCTATTTATTTCTTTATGTTTTTTTTTTCCTACTTTTCAACGCACATAATTCAAAGTAATATAATTTATGGCCTGCCCATTTAATAATAAATCATTTGACCTTAACAAAACCAACCACAGCATAACATATACAATTACAAAAATAAAAACAAACAACATAACAACAAAATATGTAACAATTGCAATAAATCTTTAATAAATAAACAATAACAACAATAATAGCAAAGAAAGAAAAAAACTAAAAAAGCATAAAGAAAAATAAACAAATAAATGAAACTGAAGGAAAAAATATAAATAAACGCTAAATAACAGTAAAAAAAAAAAAAAAAGAAAAACGATTTTTAGAAAAACAAATAAACAACAACAATAAAAGCAAACATTTATTTATTATGTTTGTTGTTGTTATTGCCTAACAAACACTCACACTTCATTCATTAGTTAGAATTTTGTAAAAGTTGCGTTTTATTTGGTTTACTTACATTGTAATTTTTCATCTAAATTGCCTTTCGATGTTACCGACAAAGCTCGTATAAATTCTTCAAATTCTATTGAACCATCCTGTGTGTATGTGTGTGGGTGGATGGAGGAGTACAAGCAGCATTATTGAAGGAAATTTATGAGAAAAAATTAAAGGTTATACAAAAACTAAGTTGGTCAAAAAAGTACAAAAATAATGGTTATATTTATAAATACAAAACAAAATAGTTAAGATAGTTAATTAACACACAGAAAGAAAAACAAAACAAAATAAATATCATATTAAATCTATGCAAACTGCTTAAAAATTTCTAAAAATTGTTTGTTAAATTCCTTCATCCTTTCTTTTCATTTTTCTCCCTAATTGCACAATTTGTCCTTAAAATTATTTTTCCCCATTTATGTTTACCAATTACTCCCTATTTTATTTAATGCAATTCATGCTAACAAATGAGAAACTAAGTAAAAAGTAATATTTATACAAAAAAAAAAAGAACTACCAAAACCATATCTTAAAACCAAACCAAAAAGCAGAACTAAAACAACAAAGCTTGTATTTAATTAGTTGGCGAATTGGTTAAGAAATAAAAACTATAAATCATGTATACGCCTTAGGGAAAAAGTCATAAAGAAAATAATAAAGCAGAGAAAGGAAATCAAGCGTAAAACGGAAGTGCAATAATATGAACCAGAAATCTATCCTTTTTGATTTCAGTAAGGGGAATTTTCATTAGATTTTTTTTTTTTTTGTTTTTTGTAAAAACAAAAGCGAAAAACCAATAACTGATGACCAAAATGCCCAAGAGATGTTTTTGTATAAAACAAACTATGTATAGAGTAGTGAACAACTAAAGCAGTAATTGGTAAGGAATTTAGTAAGATGAACTTGTTAAAGATTAAAAGTTGTGAAAAGTAAATAATAACTAAGAATTTATGACAAAGTTGTGAATAATTTATTAACAACTGAAACTTTTCTATAAGAAATTATCTGAATCAGTAGCTAATTTTCAAATGTTGTAAGATAAACGATATAATAACCAAAAAATGTGTAGAAACGAATCTTCTAAACTGTAAGATATCATCTAGTCATAGTCTAGCCATAATCTAGTCATAGTCTAGTCATAGTCTAGTCATAGTCTAGTCATAGTCTAGTCATAGTCTAGTCATAGTCTAGTCATAGTCTAGTCATAGTCTAGTCATAGTCTAGTCATAGTCTAGTCATAGTCTAGTCATAGTCTAGTCATAGTCTAGTCATAGTCTAGTCATAGTCTAGTCATAGTCTAGTCATAGTCTAGTCATAGTCTAGTCATAGTCTAGTCATAGTCTAGTCATAGTCTAGTCATAGTCTAGTCATAGTCTAGTCATAGTCTAGTCAGTCTAGTCATAGTCTAGTCATAGTCTAGTCATAGTCTAGTCATAGTCTAGTCATAGTCTAGTCATAGTCTAGTCATAGTCTAGTCATAGTCTAGTCATAGTCTAGTCATAGTCTAGTCATAGTCTAGTCATAGTCTAGTCATAGTCTAGTCATAGTCTAGTCATAGTCTAGTCATAGTCTAGTCATAGTCTAGTCATAGTCTAGTCATAGTCTAGTCATAGTCTAGTCATAGTCTAGTCATAGTCTAGTCATAGTCTAATCATAGTCTAGTCATAGTCTAGTCATAGTCTAGTCATAGTCTAGTCATAGTCTAGTCATAGTCTAGTCATAGTCTAGTCATAGTCTAGTCATAGTCTAGTCATAGTCTAGTCATAGTCTAGTCATAGTCTAGTCATAGTCTAGTCATAGTCTAGTCATAGTCTAGTCATAGTCTAGTCATAGTCTAGTCATAGTCTAGTCATAGTCTAGTCATAGTCTAGTCATAGTCTAGTCATAGTCTAGTCATAGTCTAGTCATAGTCTAGTCATAGTCTAGTCATAGTCATAGTCTAGGCATAGTCTAGTCATAGTCTAGTTATAGTTTCCATATGGGGCATGACCGATAAGATACACTACACCACTAACTAATTTTAAAATGTTGATTATTTGTTTTAATAATAATCAACATGGACACACAGACAGACGGACGGACGGATAGATCGTCTCAAAAAGTGATTCTGAGCCGATTGGTAAACAATAAGGTGAGTGTAGGTCCAATATTTTTGGGTGTTACAAACATCAGCTCAAACGCATAATACCCTCTCCACTATAGAAACAAAACCAAATTTCCATTTATTCTCTAATATTTATCATTAATTCCCCTAATCGTTTTTCAATACCAAACTTTTTACAATAACCTCTTCCCTTCCCACTTCTTACCTTTCATATGTTACTTAAAGGACAGCTTTAACTATTACATGTTTGTACATTTAACCATTTATGGTAGAAATTCATTAAATATTAAATTTAAATATCAAAGTTTAGTCTAATGTTTTATGTATAGGAAGAAGTGTTAAGAGAAACTTGCATCGATTTATTTATATATGGTTAAAAGTATGTAGATAAAAATAATGAAAATTTTAAACCGAAATATTTAAATTTTGTTTTCAAAGTTTCTCCAAACCTATGTTTTAGTCAAACATTTACATACATAGATATACATATATGTATGTATACGTATGTGTGACTAAAGTGGGTACACGAAGTAATTTAACTCAATGTGAAATTTATTTAAAATATCTTTAACAGTTCTTTAGATAAGGGTCATTTCTAAATCACTGTTCACCACTGAACATACTGGCGTATGTGGAATATTTAAATATTTGGTATTAAATAATACTCATACTCAAACATGAACTACTAAAGAATCCATATATAAATTATAAAATTATCTTAAAATTCTATCCACAAACATTCGTTAACATACTTTTTCAATAACAAACAATCATAATTGTAATGGCTCTACAGTGGTCAAATGTTAAATTAAGCATAAAATATGGTAAATTACACCACAATCTGGTAACAAAAATGTATTTATTGAATACAAAATTAATTCTGTATGTAAATATCTATGGAAATGTAAATGCAAATAACAGAAAGTAAGTAAGGAAAAAATATTAATAACAAACAAGTAAATGAATTAATTAAAAGCAAAATATATACAGAAAAGTATATTAAATATAAAGAATTAATAAAATCAATATTTAAATATACATATTTAAAGCGAAAATAGAAAAATGAACAGAAATTAAAACATTATGATTGAAAAACTTACATTATTTTCATCAAATACCCGGAAAACTAACGAGGCAAATTTACTAGGATCTCCTTGAGGGAAAAATTGTTTGTAGATTTTTATAAAGCCCTAAAGGCACAATTACAGCGCCAACAACACAAAATACACAAACATTAAACAAATGATTTATAACGAAAAAATAAAAACGACAACCATGTTAAACAGCAGCAGCAACAACATGTAACGAACAACACATAATGGGGTAGAAAAATGTCAGAGTTTGTGTGTGTTCATATGAGGAGTGTTGAAAAAAAAAATGAAAAAAAAGTTGAAACATGTACAAAATCATATTCATATGTAAAATGAACATAACACAACACAACAAAACATTTAGTGGCGCCCCAAATGACAGGCAATGACGCCGTTGAGAAACATAATCCATATAGAAAATAATACATTAGAAAAAAAAAAACATCATCATCATGAAATGTTGTAACATATAGCAGAAACAGCAGTATCCATTCAATGATGTTGGTAATAGCAGTAGCAGTAGTAGTTGTTGAAACATTAAACAAATCCACAATACGAGACATCAGCGGCAACATTTCATTTAATCAAATATGTCGCATACAATATCAAATGACATTATTAGAATTTGTATATTTTTTAAGTAACAAACATACATACACGTTGTTGTCCCCAAACAAATAACAATATTAAGGATATAAGGATAATAATATAACAACAAAAAATATAATAAAAATCAACAGAAAAAGTTTTCAACATAATATGTGTAGAGATACATAAAATTTTAATGCAGTTGAAAAGGAAAAGTTAGTTGTGTGTAATAAAATGTTGCGTATACAAACGGTTATTTTTAGTTTTCAATTTAAAAATTATATTTTTCCCAACAGCAGCAGTAGTCAAAAGGCATTATTATAAATTTGATCCATTTTTGTTTAAAAATCATAAAAATTTTAAAGTTTTTTAAAACAAATGTGGAAAAATAAAGAAAAGGAAAGAAAAAAGAATTTGTATCAGAATATAGCAAGGGAATATAAATTTATTAATATTTATTTATCGTAAAAAAGAAACTATTTTACGATTAAATTTTTTATGTTGTTAGTTTTGAAACAAAAATTGTATTAGTGAGTAGTTGTAATTAACACTAGCCAGGCCGTGGTAAAAATATTGAAATTTTAAGCTATTAAAACTGAACTAGAACTGAACTAGAACTGAACTAGAACTGAACTTGAACTGAACTAGAACTGAACTAGAACTGAACTAGAACTGAACTAGAACTGAACTAGAACTGAACTAGAACTGAACTAGAACTGAACTAGAACTGAACTAGAACTGAACTAGAACTGAACTAGAACTGAACTAGAACTAGAACTGAACTAGAACTGAACTAGAACTGAACTAGAACTGAACTAGAACTGAACTAGAACTGAACTAGAACTGAACTAGAACTGAACTAGAACTGAACTAGAACTGAACTAGAACTGAACTAGAACTGAACTAGAAACTGAACTAGAACTGAACTAGAACTGAACTAGAACTGAACTAGACTGAACTAGAACTGAACTAGAACTGAACTAGAACTGAACTAGAACTGAACTAGAACTGAACTAGAACTGAACTAGAACTGAACTAGAACTGAACTAGAACTGAACTAGAACTGAACTAGAACTGAACTAGAACTGAACTAGAACTGAACTAGAACTGAACTAGAACTGAACTAGAACTGAACTAGAACTGAACTAGAACTGAACTAGAACTGAACTAGAACTGAACTAGAACTGAACTAGAACTGAACTAGAACTGAACTAGAACTGAACTAGAACTGAACTATAACTGAACTAGAACTGAACTAGAACTGAACTAGAACTGAACTAGAACTGAACTAGAACTGAACTAGAACTGAACTAGAACTGAACTAGAACTGAACTAGAACTGAACTAGAACTGAACTAGAACTGAACTAGAACTGAACTAGAACTGAACTAGAACTGAACTAGAACTGAACTAGAACTGAACTAGAACTGAACTAGAACTGAAAACTAGAACTGAACTAGAACTGAACTAGAACTGAACTAGAACTGAACTAGAACTGAACTAGAACTGAACTAGAACTGAACTAGAACTGAACTAGAACTGAACTAGAACTGAACTAGAACTGAACTAGAACTGAACTAGAACTGAACTAGAACTGAACTAGAACTGAACTAGAACTGAACTAGAACTGAACTAGAACTGACTAGAACTGAACTAGAACTGAACTAGAACTGAACTAGACTAGAACTGAACTAGAACTGAACTAGAACTGAACTAGAACTGAACTAGAACTGAACTAGAACTGAACTAGAACTGAACTAGAACTGAACTAGAACTGAACTAGAACTGAACTAGAACTGAACTAGAACTGAACTAGAACTGAACTAGAACTGAACTAGAACTGAACTAGAACTGAACTAGAACTTGAACTAGAACTGACTAGAATGAAACTGAACTAGAACTGAACTAGAACTGAACTAGAACTGAACTAGAACTGAACTAGAACTGGAACGAGAACTGAACTAGAACTGAACTAGAACTGAACTAGAACTGAACTAGAACTGAAACTAGAACTGAACTAGAACTGAACTAGAACTGAACTAGAACTGAACTAGAACTGAACTAGAACTGAACTAAACTGAACTAGAACTGAACTAGAACTGAACTAGAACTAGAACTGAACTAGAACTGAACTAGAACTGAACTAGAACTGAACTAGAACTGAACTAGAACTGAACTAGAACTGAACTAGAACTGAACTAGAACTGAACTAGAACTGAACTAGAACTGAACTAGAACTGAACTAGAACTGAACTAGAACTGAACTAGAACTGAACTAGAACTGAACTAGAACTGAACTAGAACTGAACTAGAACTGAACTAGAACTGAACTAGAACTGAACTAGAACTGAACTAGAACTGAACTAGAACTGAACTAGAACTGAACTAGAACTGAACTAGAACTGAACTAGAACTGAACTAGAACTGAACTAGAACTGAACTAGAACTGAACTAGAACTGAACTAGAACTGAACTAGAACTGAACTAGAACTGAACTAGAACTGATAAACTAGAACTGAACTAGAACTGAACTAGAACAGAACTAGAACTGAACTAGAACTGAACTAGAACTGAACTAGAACTGAACTAGAACTGAACTAGAACTGAACTAGAACTGAACTAGACTGAATTGAACTAGAACTAAAATGAAGAAAAAAGTGTGATTTCATTAAACAGTTTTAAGACATATCTCTATATCATATAGGGTTGCCAGATTCCGATTCGCAAAAAGCTGGACATTGGGTTTTAAAAAGCTGGACAAAACAAAAGAAGCTAAACATATTAATGCAGGGGTTCTCATATACCAATTCCGTTTTGTTATAGTCCATAGAGTACGAACATATTTTTAGTTTTCCCCGATCACTTCGATAACTTAGTTTTTAAGAGCAAAATATGTGAAAAATTATTTTTTAAGTAGAAATTTGTAACCGATTATGGCCAATAGGCTAGGTTTATTTGAAAATAAATTAAATTAAAAAGCGCCACTTTTGAAGTTTTAAATTTTAAAAATCGTAAGTACGTAAGCTGTACGTAAAGAAATTGACTATCGCTCGCAATAATACATATTTATTACGACATTAGCTTTTCAAGTGTTGAGACATGTTGTCAGTGATGATAGAAGAGGGAAATCATAACTTAGTTGTATAACAAATGTACAAACAGTGTTGGCTAACATGATTTGACAAAGATAACATAAAAATTATTTCCCAAGTTATTTTAGTGTACTAAAAAAATTCTATTTGGCTGGACAAATTAAATTTTAGCTTGAAACTGGACAAGCATCAAAAAAGCTGGACAATCCAGCCAAGTCCAGCCAGGCTGGCAACCCTATTATCATAGCATTATTATTCTTAAATTTTTTGTATCGAATATTTCCAAAACTATTCTAATTTTATGCGTTTACAAAAATTTCACTTTCCAATTTACCACAAAACCTTTATAGTGTTAATCTGATGACAATGATGAGTTTCATCAACAACCACAACAACATCGACAAAACTATCATTCATAAAAGTCATAGTATTTCCTCTCTGTTACTTACTTGCTCTGTGAGTAAACCATTGGGACAGTCTTTTAAGAATCCTTTATGCCTGCGTTTTTATGAATTTTTAATATGAATAAAAAAAGTTTTTTTTTTGTAGTTTTATTACAGTATTGAATCAAAACGAAAAAAGAATCGTGTTATTAAAATGAAACTGTTTTCGCATAAGGAATATGAAATAAGTTTGCTGCATTTGGTAGAATAACAAAGAAACACAAAAAAATAATCGTAAAAAAACTTAAAACTTACCATTGTCTGATTTCTTTTTCTGTAACTGAAATGAAACAAAAATAGAAAAATTGTATTATAAATATATGCAGAATTATGTTTCAAAAAGTTTCTTCCAAACTATGCATCGTAAAAATGAAAATAAAATTGAGATTTCATACAAATGTAGTCAAAGCACTAAATTGAATTACAAGAAATTTTTATCTCTTAAGAAATTCAATAATAAAAGTAAATCTATACGTATGAATAATGTGATTAAAAAATCGTATTTAGCATACCTTATATATGACATCACTACTTATAGTACATAATAATATTTATATTTCCTAATTGTTATCTGTAATGCATCAGAACGTATGAGTAATGGGATTGTAATTTATATTTTTCATACGCTTCTAGTAAATTAAAAAATTTTAGAATATTTGTATAAATAAGACATATTTCTTTGTAAATTTTTATTCCTTGCAGTATGTACATCAACAAGTATAAGTAATATTTTCATAAATATATCAATCATACGCCTTGTACTTATTTCTTTTAATAGAAAGTTTGTAAACAATTATGCATTAGAAAAGCTCGCGATTGTATATAAAAAAAAGTATCTTAGAACACAGTTTTTTATTTCAGCTACTGTCATAAACATAAGAACGTATATAAATGAAAAACGAAACTAGTAAGAGTTTGCTATGTTTAGAAAAAGTGAAGGTACAAAATGACAAATCCATAAAATAAACAAGACAACAAATCATCCATTGAAAACTATTAAGAATGATCATCACTAGCAGTGGTAGGAATGGCAAAACAATGACATAAATATAACTGCAGTTGTTTTTTATAATACACCCACAAACAGAAAAATTGTTTAAATAAATATTCGTATTAGGCTGCATCGAAAAACTGCTAAAAATTATTGCATTTCTGAATTAGTGTAAATATGAACATTTTAACATGGCGAATATATTATTAGCTCACATTAAACTAATGTGTGTCGAATTTCATCGATATATTCGTATTTTTAAGCCAGTAATCAGCTTTTTTTGTGGTACTTGCTTCATAAACAACGAATTTGTGAATGCTTGAAGCACTTTATACAATATTCCGGGGGGTACATTTGTATGGGGGCTATGTGAAATCGTTGACCGATTTTGTCCAATTTCAATACCAAACATTTCTGATCAATAAGAAATAAATTTCATCTCAATATCTCTTTTTTGTGGACGCTATCGTGCCAACAACAGACAGACGGACGGACGGATATAGCTAGATCGTCTTAGAATCTTACGAGGTCCCAGAATATATATACTTTATGGGGTCTGTGAACAATATTTCGATGTGTTACACACGGAATGACAAAATCAATATACCATTCATCCAAAATCAATATACCATCCATGATGGTGGGTATAAAAATCAGCTTATTTTGCGATCACTCATATTTCCCTTCAAAAATCTATATTTTTGTCGAAAGCCTTTAAGAAACTAAAATCGCTGATAACTTAGTTAAAACACGTTTAAATTGCGATCACTCATATTTCCGTTCAAAAATCTATATTTTGGTCGGAAACCCTGTTAAAACAAAAATCGCTTGTAACATATATTCTCCATAAAAAATCGATATTTTGGTCGAAAACCTCGAAGAAACTAAAATCGCTTATAACCTCGTTAAAACACATTTAAACTGAAAAATACGCTGATAAAACTAAAATCGCTTATAACTTCGTTAAAACACGTTTAAATTGAAAAATAAGCTTATTTTGTGATCACTTATATTCTCCCTTCAAAAATCGATATTTTGGTCGAAAACCCTGATAAAACTAAAATCGCTTATAACTTCGTTAAAACACGTTTAAATTGAAAAATAAGCTTATTTTGTGATCACTCATATTTCCCTTCAAAAAATCGATATTTTGGTCGAAAACCCTGATAAAACTAAAATCGCTTATACCTTCGTTAAAACACTTTTAAATTGAAAAATAAGCTTATTTTGTGATCACTCATATTTCCCTTCAAAAATAGATATTTTGGTCGAAAACCTTGAAGAAACTAAAATCGCTTATAACTTCGTTAAAACACGTTTAAATTGAAAAATAAGCTTATTTTGTGATCACTCATATTTCCCTTCAAAAAATCGATATCTTGGTCGAAAACCCTGATAAAACTAAAATCGCTTATAACTTCGTTAAAACACGTTTAAATTGAAAAATAAGCTTATTTTGTGATAACTCATATTTCCCTTCAAAAATAGATATTTTGGTCGAAAACCTTGAAGAAACTAAAATCGCTTATAACTTCGTTAAAACACGTTTGAATTGAAAAATAAGCTTATTTTGTGATTACTCATACTTCCCTTCAAAAAATCGATATTTTGGTCGAAAACCCTGATAAAACTAAAATCGCTTATAACTTCGTTAAAACACGTTTAAATTGAAAAATAAGCTTAATTTGTGATCACTCATATTTCCCTTTAAAAACCAATATTTTGGTCGGAAACCTTGAAGAAACTAAAATCGCTTATAAGTTCGTTAAAACACGTTTCAAGAATCGATATTTTGGTCGGAAACCTTGAAGAAACTAAAATCGCTTATAACTTCGTTAAAACACGTTTAAATTGAAAAATAAGCTTATTTTGTGATCACTCAATTTCCCTTCAAAAAATCGATATTTTGGTTGAAAACCCTGATAAAACTAAAATCGCTTATAACTTCGTTAAAACACGTTTAAATTGAAAAATAAGCTTATTTTGTGATCGCTCATATTTCCCTTCAAAAAGATATTTTGGTCGGAAACCTTGAAGAAACTAAAATCGCTTATAACTTCGTTAAAACACGTTTAAATTGAAAAATAAGCTTATTTTGTGATCACTCATGCTTCCCTTCAAAAATCAATATTTTGGTCGAAAACCTTGAAGAAACTAAAATCGCTTATAACTTCGTTAAAACACGTTTTAATTGAAAAATAAGCTTATTTTGTGATCACTCATGCTTCCCTTCAAAAATCAATATTTTGGTCGAAAACCTTGAAGAAACTAAAATCGCTTATAACTTCGTTAAAACACGTTTAAATTAAAAAATAAGCTCATTTTGTGATCACTCATATTTCCCTTCAAAAAATCAATATTTTGGTTGAAAACCTTGAAGAAACTAAAATCGCTTATAACTTCGTTGAAACACGTTTAAATTGAAAAATAAGGTTAATTTGTGATCACTCATATTTCCCTTTAAAAATCCATATTTTGGTCGGAAACCTTGAAGAAACTAAAATCGCTTATAACTTCGTTAAAACACGTTTAAATTGAAAAATAAGCTTATTTTGTGATCACTTATATTCTCCATCAAAAAATCGATATTTTGGTCGAAAACTCTGATAAAACTAAAATCGCTTATAACTTCGTTAAAACACGTTTAAATTGAAAAATAAGCTTATTTTGTGATCACTCATATTTCCCTTCAAAAAATCGATATTTTGGTCGAAAACCCTGATAAAACTAAAATCGCTTATAACTTCGTTAAAACACGTTTAAATTGAAAAATAAGCTTATTTTGTTATCACTCATATTTCCCTTCAAAAATAGATATTTTGGTCGAAAACCTTGAAGAAACTAAAATCGCTTATAACTTCGTTAAAATACGTTTAAATTGAAAAATAAGCTTATTTTGTGATCACTCATATTTCCCTTCAAAAAATCGATATCTTGGTCGAAAACCCTGATAAAACTAAAATCGCTTATAACTTCGTTAAAACACGTTTAAATTGAAAAATAAGCTTATTTTGTGATAACTCATATTTCCCTTCAAAAATAGATATTTTGGTCGAAAACCTTGAAGAAACTAAAATCGCTTATAACTTCGTTAAAACACGTTTGAATTGAAAAATAAGCTTATTTTGTGATCACTCATATTTCCCTTCAAAAATCGATATTTTGGTCGGAAACCTTGAAGAAACTAAAATCGCCTATAACTTCGTTAAAACACGTTTAAATTGAAAAATAAGCTTATTTTGTGATCACTCATATTTCCCTTCAAGAATCGATATTTTGGTCGGAAACCTTGAAGAAACTAAAATCGCTTAAAACTTCGTTAAAACACGTTTAAATTGAAAAATAAGCTTAATTTGTGATCACTCATATTTCCCTTCAAAAAATCGATATTTTGGTCGAATACCCTGATAAAACTAAAATCGCTTCTAACTTCGTTAAAACACGTTTAATTTGAAAAATAAGCTTATTTTGTGATCACTCATATCTCCCTTCAAAAAATCGATATTTTGGTCGAAAACCCTGATAAAACTAAAATCGCTTATAACTTCGTTAAAACACGTTTAAATTGAAAAATAAGCTTATTTTGTGATCACTCATATTTCCCTTCAAAAAATCGATATTTTGGTTGAAAACCCTGATAGAACTAAAATTGCTTATAACTTCGTTAAAACACGTTTAAATTGAAAAATAAGCTTAATTTGTGACCACTCATATTTCCCTTCAAAAATCGATATTTTGGTAGGAAACCTTGAAGAAACTAAAATCGCTTATAACTTCGTTAAAACACGTTTAAATTGAAAAATAAGCTTATTTTGTGATTACTCATATTTCCCTTCAAAAAATCGATATTTTGGTCGAAAACCCTGATAAAACTAAAATCGCTTATAACTTCGTTAAAACACGTTTAAATTGAAAAATAAGCTTAATTTGTGATCACTCATATTTCCCTTTAAAAACCAATATTTTGGTGGAAACCTTGAAGAAACTAAAATCGCTTATAAGTTCGTTAAAACACGTTTCAATAATCGATATTTTGGTCGGAAACCTTGAAGAAACTAAAATCGCTTATAACTTCGTTAAAACACGTTTAAATTGAAAAATAAGCTTATTTTGTGATCACTCAATTTCCCTTCAAAAAATCGATATTTTGGTTGAAAACCCTGATAAAACTAAAATCGCTTATAACTTCGTTAAAACACGTTTAAATTGAAAAATAAGATTATTTTGTGATCGCTCATATTTCCCTTCAAAAAGATATTTTGGTCGGAAACCTTGAAGAAACTAAAATC